AGCATCATGATAAACTCTACACAGGTTTCATATTTCATACTTGCTGCCTACTTTGATGCTGGAGCTTTAAAATATTTATATTTCATGGTCCTTATTTTTGTTTATGTTGTGATTACTTGTGCTAATCTGTTGCTCATTGTTGTTATCTGTATGAACAGAAGTTTACATGAACCTATGTACGTGTTTCTGTGCAGCCTGTTTGTCAATGACTTGTATGGTAGTACAGGGTTGTTTCCTTTCCTCCTGGTTCAGATCCTCTCTGACATTCACACTGTTTCTGTTCACTGCTGTTTTCTGCAAATGTTCTGTATTTATACCTATGCATGTGTGGAGTTTACAAATTTAGCCGCCATGGCTTATGACAGATACATTGCTATATGTTTTCCTCTACAGTACAACACCTGGATGACGTATAACAAGGTTGTCATACTCATTGTGGTTATATGGTTACCTCCTTTGGTTGTTGTTTGTGTCACAACATGCCTGAGTGCCTCATTACAGCTGTGTGGGAACATCATAAACAAAGTGTACTGTGGAAACTACTCCATCATGAACCTGGCATGCTCTGACATCACTGTAAATAATATCTATGAACTCACTGCTGCTTGTCTCATAGTCGGGGCCCCAGTATCTGTAATCCTTTACACGTACATCAGGATCCTTAAAGTGTGTTTTTCTGGCTCTACACAGACCAGACAGAAAGCTGTCAGTACCTGCTCACCTCACCTTGCCTCTCTGCTGAACTTTTGTTTTGGGGGTTGCTTTGAAATATTACAGAGCAGATTCAATATGGACACTGTACCCAATATGCTACGAATATTTTTGGCGTTGTACTTTCTTACCTGTCAGCCACTATTTAACCCTGTAATATATGGCCTGAACATGTCTAAAATATACATTATATGTGAAAGCCTACTTATAACTGTGGTGGGGAGGTGTAAGAGAAGATAATAAATGTTATCTTTTTGATGCCATATGTCAGTAATAATAATCATATCTTCATTTAACATAGTTTCAAAAGGAAATTTATGTTGAAGTTTTACATTTTTACATCTATTTTTAGGGACTATGTACAAAACACAGCAATCTCACTCCTTTTAACAAGTCTGGGAGTCATACTGACATAAACAACTACAGACCAATAAGAATACTCCCAGTTATGTCCAAAGTGTATGTCCAAAATATGTAGCCGAACATCTTCTTTCACATCTCCAAACCAGCCTAAAAACATTGATGAAAAGAGAAAGATAAGGCACACATA